GCAGAATTTGTACTTTTGTAGTTTGGTGAGGCACCAGAGCTCTCTGATAGCCCAGGCTGAATACCTCACCAAATGAAAAATCCCAAGATTCTGTAGGATAGAGTCATGGCAGTTAAAGCAGTGTTAAACTGCTTTAATTATGCAGTGTGAATACACCCTATGATGTGTCCAAAATAAGATAACATTGGTTTATGATTGTCAGAGCAATATACATTTATTCTATAGGAGCCTCGACATGTCTTCATCCATCTGTGGATGCTAGTGTTGTAAGACTTCACTAAACTAACTAAAACAGGCATTCCTTAACACAAATTCTTGTATCATTTTCAGCATAGGATGGATTTAAATGCCCTCAAAACCTGACCTGTTTGCTTCCTTTCTCAAAAACAAACAAGCAAACAAAAAACCCCAAACAACAATATTTCTTTAATTTCCTATCCTGTTATTTGACTATGTTCCATCTTAGAACTGAACTATATTACAACTTGCCAGCATACATCAAGTATCAATTTCAAGATTTAATATACTTTATCGATGTTATGAAGAAAGCACTATATATGGATTTTTCTTCAGCCTTCAGCAATTGTACTTCAATGGAGTGGGATTTGCTTTTGTCTTCTATTTGCAAAGGAGTAGTCCATTTATTCTGTATTACAGCAGACACAATGGAAAGTGTTTAAGCACCTTAAAGTCTAACAGATATACTCTATGGCATACGTTTTAAGCAACTACACATAAAGTGCTAACTTCTGTTGACTACCACAGGACCTCATGATGTTAAAGTTCATTCACCAGCTCATCTTCCAGTATAACAGAGGACATCATTTGCCAGAAATTTCTGTATTCTCCATAGAATAAACAGTCCAATCCCTCCATAAAGGAACCACTGGACACAAAACTGGTATCAGCAACCTTCAGAAACCAGAAGATAATTTTGCTCTATAGTGATCTTAAAATGGCTATTCTAGAACAAAATAATTTAGAAGGCAGGGTTCAACATTAAACTGTTGCATTACAATTAATTAAAGAAAGAAGAAAAAAGAAGCAGTTTTTGTCTAATTTCCGTTCGGATTAACCTCCTTTTAACTGTGCTGGAGTTTATCACACAGGGAAATCCCATTGATAAATTGCTTCCGCTTTTGCGTTGTTTTTTTCCCAATTTAAAGCAGCGTTTCTGCACGGGACTCCCCATGTGATAAACTCCTGAGTTTAAAAACCTCCAAAGGAGACTCCACCTCACTCCGAGGAACAGCTCTTACTATCAGGAAGTTCTTCCTAATATTGAGGCAGAATCACTTTTCCTGTAGTTTGAATCCATTGCCTGAAGTCCTAGGACGTTATCATACGGGGAATCGCGGGGAGAAAGTGGAAATAAACGGGCATGAGCGGAAGACTTTAATTTACAGGATTTGTCCTGTTCCGCCTCATCTGATAACTAAATTCGAATTTCAAAGGGGGCTAATTTGAACAAAAACCTGATCTTTTCATTTTCGGGATTTTTGAGGATTTGAAAAGATCAGGTTTTTGTTTGAATTAACCCCCTTTTAAATTCGAATTTAATTATCAGACAAGGCGGAACGGGACAAATCCCGTAAATTAAAGTCTTCCACTCATCCAGTTTATTTCCACTTTCTCCCTGCAACCACCGTGTGATAACGTCCCTAGTCTCTGGAAAAGCAGAAAACAAGCTTGCTCCATCTTCAATATGACACCCCTTCAAATA